AGGAAAAAAAAAAAAAAAAAGAATATTACCAGCAACCCAAAATCTCAAAGGTGACTTGATGATTCTCAGCCATTGGCCTCACAAATTAAGCACTATACTAATCTCTACCACCATAGATTACTTTTTCCTTATTTTTTAACTATATGTAAGTAGAATTGTAAAGCATGTACTTTTTGTTGTCAAGCTTCTTTCATTCAATATAATGTTTGTGAAATCCATTTACATTGTGTGTACATGAATTTATTTTTTCATGACTGTATAGTATTCCATTACATAAACATACCATGATGTATTTATTTATCCATTATGTTGTTGAGGGAAATTACCTTAATCTAAATAAGGATGGAGAGACTTGTATGCAGTTGTTTGAGGCTTGTTTCATTTCAAGATTTTTCTCTGTTTCCAGGGTGAGCCTTTTAGATGTCCTGATTTGGCATTTTTATCAATGCCTCTCTATTTTAGCAGCCCTGAGCTCCAGCTTCTGCCTCCACATCATGGTGACACTGCTGAGAACTGTGTGCAGCTCTTCACTCTCTTTGCAGCTGTCTTTTAGGTTTCCTGGCACAGCCCATGCATTGGCACACAGCTGGAGGAGAAAGCAGCAGAGACCATCCTATCTGTCTGGGCTTCTCTTCTCTACAGACCTTGGCCATTCAAGTTCTGACTGCCTTTGTTTCCCTGAGCTATTTCTATTCTGATTTTGAGTCGCCAAAGTATCAGGAGTTTCATTAAGTGACATTCAAGTATTGCTATTTTTATGCAGAACCTTTTATTGATGTTGTTGTTATGATTTGACCATAGCATAAAAAAGTCTGCTGTTTTATTGAATGCATTCTAAAGCAATCATCAAGCTTTGATATTGTTAAAATACAACAAATAGAGGAAGAACAAAAAGAGCAGTCTTGTTTTATAAAAAGTAAGAGCAACAGCAGACTGGCTGCAGACAGTTACTTTTGATAGAGGTTGTGCTAATTTATTTTGATCAGAAGTGATTTGATGCTAGAGTTCTGTTGCTTGGATATATAAGAAAAACTGCTCAGATTTTGAAGATGTTTTCTTGGTCCACTTAAGCATATTGAGCATTTTAAAATCTAGGAAGACTACATTTTAAGGCTGTTTAAGGTGAATTTTGACTATAGAAAGTGACTTCTAGTGGAATTTTAATAGTTAAAAGGTCCCAATCCTTCTCCTCACTATGCTAATNGTCCACTTAAGCATATTGAGCATTTTAAAATCTAGGAAGACTATATTTTAAGGCTGTTTAAGGTGAATTTTGACTATAGAAAGTGACTTCTAGTGGAATTTTAATAGTTAAAAGGTCCCAATCCTTCTCCTCACTATGCTAATTTAAAGATTTTTTTCAGCTTCATTTTCCTGTGTCACATTTTAAGAGCCCCTCTCCACCATGCGCCCCATTTCTACAAATACCTATGCAGCACCCCTTTATTGTGTGAAAGGAAGAAAACAGATGATGGATTAAATAGGCAGCTCTGAAGAAGTGATTCCAATCCCATTTTTCTTGCAAACCTCATGTTAAAACATTTGGTGGCATTAAATATTGACAATGAAATTGGCTATAAAAGAATGTATGGGAATTATCAAAAAAATAAATAAGGTGAGTGTAATGAGCTAAACTCTTTTACGCACCAACTTTGTGCCAAGCAGTCAGTTCTCCCAGGAAATCTTTTTCCTCTTCCTCCTTAGCTTGCTCATCTTCATAGGTGAGAGGCAGAGTGGTAGCATCATAATGAAGCAGCTCAGGTGGGCTCTTGAATAGAAGACCCAGAAACCTCACAACTTCCATTTCCTCTCCTCCTTCCTCTAGCCCGTCATCATCTGAAGCCAAGACCACAGAGGAAAATGCTGGGCTTCGACATGTTGGTTGAAAGAAGGAAAACCTAGGCAAGGTCTGACAGAGAAATGAGAGTCTGAAC